CAGGAAATCTCTCTATTCACTATCAGCTATCTTTTATTTTCCCTTTATTTATATTTTGAGTTTCTCATAAAAGAGAAAATAAGCAATTTTTAAGGTTGTGTGTATGACTTATTTTGCATCACATTGTGGATGAAAGGTACATTTTGAATACAGCTGGAGGCCTTTCATTTTTCTACTAGTGTTCCTCAATGTTGAGCCATGATCACCCACCTCAGAGTCACTTGAGATACTTTTTACCTGACAAGTGTTGGGAATATTGAAGGAATATAAATCATAACATCTGGAAATTTTACCAGGAAATGTACATTCTAATGGAATCTGATTCTGTAACCATGTGCCAAATTCTCCAGCAGATTTGGCAAAGAAAATCTGTAGATATGAACATCTTTCTATCATCTATCTATCTAAATATCTATCTATCTATCTATCTATCTATCTATCTATCTACCTAAATATCTAAATATCTAAAATAGCTAAGATCTCTTACTCAAACAGCATAATTCTACAAAATAATTCATTTTCACAATGAAATGTTGTGACTCCAAACTGATACTGTGCTTGCTTCCTTCAATTTCTTAAATGATTGTATTTCTCTTTTCATGGATTCCTGGTCTTACATGTAAGAGTATGGGTAGTGTCTACCATTTTCTTTAATTTTACCCTCCAAGTAATTATATGACGGTATTTTGTATTTTCACCGAAAGATGTTTGATTTATAGTAGTGTTGACAACACCTTAACTGCAGTTGTAGGATTATTTGAAGAAAAGTATGTTTAAAATTTTCATGCTATTTTATAAAGCATTTCAATATATCATATGCAAAGAAATAATAATCATGAATGCTACCATGATAATAAAATTAATTTCAAAACTGCATCATTTTTCTCACCATTATACTATGTGGTACAATAAATCCAAATATGTGCTGTAATTGCTTATATTTTAGTTTAAAATTTGAACCACTTATGAGAACAGGACAATGATATAATTGCTTAGAAGTTCTTTAAATCAATGTAATTGTTTCATCAATATCACATGCAAACATCAGTGCTAATTTACTTTTTCTTAATAAGCACTGGATTTTCTCCAGAAGTTCAAACTACATGAAGATCTTTCTTCCTAAAGGTTGAACTTTGACTTAAAAATATACTTATATATGTTCATAAATTTCTTTTGCATGTCACATACTATGTAAAATAAAAATCGGAAGTATTTTTAAATGAAGGTATTTTATTGGCATCACGTATTATATTATAATATTCTAGTTGTGTTGTGGAATTCTAAATTGTGAAAATTTTTGTATCAAATAATTTACTGATAGATATTTTTATTTCCTTAGTAAATAACCCTTTTTAAAGTTATTGTATTTTATACACACACACACATTATATATATATATATATATATATATATATATATATACACAAATATTTCAAAATGGTGTGTAACATTACTTGTTAATTCAAAAATGTTATATTTGCTATTCATTTTTCAAAAACTGTATTATAAGCATAAATACTTATATATGAATATAAATCACATTTTGTAGTCCACTTATTTATTGCTCATTATATTTTAGCACAACACACTTAGATTTGAGGACTCAAGATTAAAAAATAAAGGATACCATCCTTATCAGATGTACTTGAGAGACAAGGACCACCAAACAGGACACAGTGTGCTAGTGAGGACACATGAACATGCAAACCTAAAGATAAAGGTTCCTGCTTTTATGTTGGGAGTGAGCCAAGTGAGAACTCAGCTCTGCGTGACTCTCATCCCCTTTCCTCTTTTCTGCTCTTTGTCCTTCTCCTTGTTCTCTCTCTCTCTGTCTCCCCCCCCCCTCTCTCCCTCTCCCTCTCTGTCTCTCTCTGTCTCTCTCTCTTTCTCTCTCTCTCTCTCTCTCTCTCTCTCTCTCTCTCTCTCTCTCTCTCTCTGTCTCTCTCTCTCTCTCTCTCTCCCCCTCCCTCTCCAAATTTACTCCTTCCAGTAATAACAGAAGCAAATCTGAAATGTAAAAGCTTGGATTTTTCTTGAACTTGTTATGATGTTTTAATGAGATCCCAAATTAAAGAATAAAAGCGTGAAAAGTTACAGCAGAAAAGAGAGTGTAATTTGACAAGTATTTATGAAACTGTATAGTGACTGAAGAATATTAAAAGTATTAAAGATATGGAAAATTTTATAAAAATATAAAAAATCCTTAACATTTTAAGACTTTTTGACATTTCATTGAATCATGGTAGGGCAGATACGTTTAATAGAAAAGACTTTGGAAAAGTGAAGACATAAGATCATGAAATTCAAAACTGAAGGGAGGTGAGAATGAAGGGAACATGGGATGTCGACCTTGGGTGATGAGGTTTGCCAGGCAAGGAGGGAGGCTGGGCCTCAGTAAGAGAAGAGGGAAGGTGCCCAGGAACAGCGGTGTCCTGCAAAGGCTTTGGGTTTAGTTTAGAAGAGGTCGAGTTTAATGTGCTTGCTGATCTTACATGTAGTCATGACCAGTTATGTACACTGATCCAACAATCAGCAAAACAACTTAGTTTTGCAAAACATACTTGGAGCTCGTGACATACAGATTGTGGGGTGTGTGTGTGTGTGTGTGTGTGTGTGTGTGTGTGTGTGAAGTGCAAAGTGTGGTCAGCCAGTCCTGTGCCTCTGGATGAAAGAGTGAGAAGGCAGGGCAGACGTGATGTGGCTTTGGAGGGGAGCAATGGCAGCATTAGACACAGCGCAACAAGTTGATACCTAATTTAACGAGGGAAGTTTGGGAAAAGAAAGGATGGAGGATAAAATACAGTTTAGGATTCTGTCCATGGTAGTCTCACCATTTCTGTGACCCAGCCGACAAAAATGAAAACAACGTGCAGAGCCCTACACTATGACTTGCTCTGCATACACCAGAACCTCTCATTCTAACCTAGTTACCACTGACCATTTCCTGTCCGCCCTGCCCTCCCTCTCCTGCTCGCCCCAGCGCCTGATATCCAGGAGCCTGGGCTCCACTTTGGAGATAAGTGTCTTCAGATGCAGCATGAGGAGATCATACAGTTCTGGTCTTCCCTTGGCTGCCTTATTTCACTCAGCATCTTGATCTCCAGTTCCATCTGTGTAATGGGACTTCTTCTGACTAAAGATCATGAATATTGTTTAAATGAGCTGTGTTTACCTCACCCAATTATCAGGTGGTGACAGTCTAATTGTGTCCATTTTGTGGCTTTTGTGAAGAGAAATTAACAAAGCAAGGGACTTTTACACACAATGATTTCATTCCCCCTGATACCTACCCAAGAGTGTGAATTTAAATCATGTGGTAGTTAAATCTTTATATTTGAAGAATTTTCTTACTGCTTTCTTTAATGACTTTGCTAGTTTATACTGTACCACTGCAAATGTCCAAGAGTTCACTTTTCTCTGCATTCTTGCCAGCACGTTTTAACGTCAGCTCTTTTAATTATAAGTCATTCTTGCTGGGTGATACACTAGCTCAGAGTGGTGATTACTTATGCTTAGGACTTTTCATATACATTTTGGCCACAAAATAATAATTTAATGAGGTGATTAGTTTAAACAAGGCATTCTAGAAGAATTTTTAAAATGGCCAATAGTTCAATGTAAAATGACACGGCCTCTAGAGTGATGCAGGTTTTATATTTCATGGGTTAATTCAAGGAAAACATGTTGTTATTACAGTATTAGTGCGTCATGATCCAGAGAGCTTTCCTGTCAAAGCATCCACATCTAGCTCATTTCATTTTTTCAATTCAGTCTGCTCAGCAATGTATATTTACTCATTTAGATACTTAATTTCCTAGCAGATACTGAGGATTAGTTTCACTCTGAGGATTAACAAACTCAAAGTAGAGAAAGCTTTCTGTTATTGCAAGTATTTAAAGTCTGTGGTATGTTTCTCCTGCAGTTTTCTTGGAAAAATTTGATTTAAGTAATTTTTAAAGATTTGTTTTTGTTTGGAGCCTAAGTTTCATCAACAACAACATTGAAGGTAATATTGGATTTGGGATAAGTGTATATGAAAATTTTAAATTTTAAAGCAGGATTGATATAATAGGACTATTGTTTTTGCAGTCAAATGCTCTACCCCTGTGCTATACTCCCAGGACTATTGCTTTTGTTAGGACTTTATGTAGTTTCATTACTTTTTCAGTTATGTTTCTGTTTTATTGTTAGAACTGTTCTCTTATTTGACTAGTATTTTTGAGTGTCTGCTATGTAAGATATTTTAAAAGAAACACTACCTTGTGCCTCAAATGTCACCAGATTCCTCTCAGCATGGTGATGAGGTTGCATTCTAATTCTGACACCCCAAAGTAAGAGTTCCTCACTTCCCTGGGCAGATGTGGGCTGCATCTACATATCTTTAAAGGACTTGGTTAGCAGGTGTCTCAGCAGTGAGGAGCACACTCAAGAGACTTAGATCCTTGTTTTGGCTGCTACACAGATTATGGGGAAGACCGTGCCAGTTCTCTAACCGAAGTGCAGGTATTCAAAGATGTAAAATTTGAAAATTTTTTACTTTACTAGGGTAATTCATCAAATCAATTTTATGTAGATATCTAGAATACTACATAAACATAATTGTAGATAAACTATTGTCCAGTTTTTTTTTTTTTTTTTTCTTGGCTTACTATGAAATCACTCAGCAATAGAAAGAATAGATGGAAGCCATTGGTTTACATAAATTCTATTTTACATATAAAATTGCACTTTTCTAGGATTTATTGACAGTGTGTTTACTAGAGAATCAATTGGTAAAGGAGCGTTCTCATTTGATGTTCCAGTGAAGGCCACATTAGAGACTGACAGGTCTTTCCTGAAGAAGTTTATTCTTTCTTTCTCTTCTTGGATTACAAAAGCAGCTCAGGACTGAACTAGATAAGGTCCCGGAGAAATATTGTTAAGTACTGTCAATCACAGAAGCATTAGTTTCTGTTTTGATGTCCCTTTCTTGGAGCTCCATCTCCTGAATTATAGCCACCATGTTGCCGGTAAGCCCAGGGGACACGCAGAATCCATGGCTTCATTCTCTTGTTTACATCTCCAAGTACCTCCCAGGGAAACCTTGACATTAAGCAACAGAATCGTGACTAAGTGAAATGTAATATAGTTACAGCATAAGATAACTAGCCCCTGGTGCAATGCCAGTTATCTTCAGTATATTTTTAATATTTCTCATCTCCCTATTTATTTTCTTCTTGATGTAAAATAATCACAAAATTCATATCAGTTATAAACGGGTTTATCTAAAAGGGAGGGCTTTCTATCTGGATACTTTCAGAAAAATTGCGTTTGGTCAGATTGCACCTGAGATATATCAAAGTACCATGCTGCATATGCAAACACGCTTGTCTTCCATCCAAAGTTAAAGAAAAATATTTTTACTTTTCACCATGATGTTTGTTTTCAGTTTCTTGTAGATGTACTTTGTTGAGTCAAAGTATTTGTCTTCCTTCCAGTATTTCATTGGAGCTTTGATCATGAATGGATGTAGGATGTCAGCAAATGCTAACTCTGAATCTACTGAAATGGTCCTGTCACTTATCCTTCCTTCCTTTGCTAACAGGATGGTTCATGATTGTTAAACCAACTTTGTGTATGTGGACTTTGGTCACTTGTGATGGCCCTTTGGTCACTGGCTACTATCTGTAATTTACTGATAGAATTATATTAATATTGTAAGTAGTTTTTGTCCATGTTTATGAAATGTCCTTGTCTGTATCCTAGTTTTCTTTTGAACTTTTTTGTAGATTTCATAATCCAGACACAAAATTAAGCGGTTAGTTCTTCATTTATTTTCTAAAAATAATTGTAAAATATAATATTGTTTGTCATTTAAAACTTGATAGAATTCTCCAGTGAAGCCTTTGGAATATGAATCTTCTTGTAGAGTTTTTGCATGGTACCTAAATGTGATTGCACATTTTAGATAAAATATTTATTATTCTAATCTACATTTTTATAAAAATTTGTCCAATTAGTTGACACTTTTGGTATAAAAATATTTACTATAATTCCTCATATTTCACTTGTGATATGAAATCATGTATTTCCCTTCTTTCCTAATTTTGCTAACTTATAGATTTCCTTATAAAAGCTGAACTTTAAAATTAAGTAAAAAATAAAGCAGTTCTAACTAAAATTCATTCAGAGACCTGCAAGAGTTAACATATCATCAAGATGAGGAGATAAATTTAACAGATCATTTTTGCGAGCATCATAGAATTACTTTATGATTATCTGTGGGAGTAGGAAGTAGTCAATTAACTTAAGCATAAAAATGTAAATTAACTCATATGAAACATAAAGATGATTGTAAGGTAAAAGATTTGATGTTTTAAAAATTAAATTAATTGCTTATGTCTTTTCTAACCTGATATTCACTAAATCTATACTTGTATTTGTTTTACAATCTTTCCATAAAAGCTAAATATTGTATGGTATTTTGTCAAATAATTTGATCAAGATACTGATTCTAAATCAGTTTTAAATCAACTTCATTGTTGCTGTACAGACTCAGTATAGATTAGACAAATCAGAATGGAACTAGATCATTGCTTTTATAGGACAATTTAACAAATTACATATCTATATAAAAGAATGCCACATTACTCTCATAAATTATATACTGTCACAGAAATTCAATGTGCTTCGAGTTCAGTACTCAGAGACATTATTGGTGCTTTAGCTGGCACTGAGAAATAAAGTGACATTTTTACACATGTAATTATGAAAAAAATTTAAATATGTATTAGAAGAGAGAATATCATAATTAAAGCATTGCTCATTTTCAGCCATATGTACATGTTGTTATTATTTTTCTTCAGTCCTTGATTGAATATTTTGTAGTTGTTCCAAAGCCTATGACACTTACCTTTTCAAAAATAGAGATATTTCACAATGCATAGGAGAGTTTCAAACAGCAAAGATAGGTCTTACTTAAAATGCTTCATCTCTTCTTTTGAGAAACATTATTAATAATGAGATATTATGATACTGATGATAACTTTTGTGATGATTTACTGTTGATGTCAGAAGTTTAAACTACATTTCAAGTGAATGGATAGTTCAAAGTGAGCAAAAGAAAACTTTTGATTAAAAATAGGCTTAATTTTATTTTAATAACATGTTAATATTTTGAAAGCAAATTGCTAAAATACATATTTAAGAAAGAAAACATTTTCCCTCTTAAAATATTCCATTCTAATGCAACTTTATGTTCTCAAACACTAATTCTTGATAAGTAAGAGAAAATCTGTCCTTCATGGGACTTCAGAGCTTGCACCTTGTTGACCACATAAAACTGACAGTAATCATTGTCTCACCGTCCAGAGGCAGAATATTTGTTACACATGCTAATGATAAAAGTTTCATCTAAATTTTAACTTGTTGTCTTTTGTAAAAAATAGTTATCTGACTGTTAACATATTTGTTTTTCTAGTAATATCTGATAAAATTTAAAACCATGAAATAAGAAACTGTAATGCCTCTACTTTAAATTTATATTGTTCTTTTATATTTTAGAAAAAGCCTACTTCCCCTTCTCATCAGAGTACTACTCAAATAAAGAGATAATAATACTGTGTATTCTGTATTTTCTGTGAACTCTGAATTAATCTATGCACGGTATTATAACATTGGTACTTTGAAAGCATTAGGCATTTTGTCATGTTTAAATTTAATTTAATGGGGGCTGGGGATTTAGCTCAGCGGCATAAGCACCTGCCTTGCAAGCAGGCAGTCATGAGTTTGATCCCCGGTACCGATAAGAAAAAAGACAATAAATAAATAAATGAATTTAATTTAATATTTTAAGCAGAATCTTTCTATGTATTTCAGTCTGGCTTTGAACTCTCTATGTAGACCAGGATGACTTTGAACTGATTGAGATCTTTCTGCTTCACCTTTCCTGTTTGGATTACTGGCTTGTCACCACACTGGCATTAGGCATTAATTTTAGTACTATTGTTCATTTCCAGTTTCTTTAGAAAAGTGAGCCTAGTTTAACCAACTTCCTACGTTTTACACTATATGACCTATATTTCTCTATATTTTACTCTGTATAAATTAAATTATAAGTACCACTAAAATGGCTGTTCTATATAATCTTTACAAAATACTAATAATGACAGTAACAATGTATACAAAAATATATTGAACATTTTAAAACACTATGTCATTATGAAGTACAGTCTATAAATACTGTCTTATTTATCAAATAAATTAGTTAAATAATTATTAAGAATGCTTAAATAACTCACACAATTCAGATCCAAATGTTATATGAAATAAGATAATACCCATTGGATAATAAGAAATTTCAAGTAATACAGCTGTGGGAAAATTCCCAAGTGAAATAAAATCAAAACAAAGACTGCACCAAAGAGATAAGAAGACAGGTTTTAATCTTTATACAGGCAGAGTGTTGAATCTTGACATCAGTGAACTCTTTTAGGATAATTCCACAAAGGCTACAGCACTGAATTTAAAGAGAGCTTAGTTTATACAGAATTTAGAAATGTGAGGCACAAAGCAAGTGACAAAATGTTACACAATTAGTTACATACATTGAGTCATATAGTGACAAGCAGGCTCTTCTTGAACACATTTGATGAAACAAGAAAATTGTCCATCATAACACAGAAACACTCTAGGCATAAGGGGAGGAGGCCCTTACAGAGTTAGCATAGTTAAATGCGTTACCATAATATAAAAACATCTGGGGGAGGGGCCCTGGAATTAGCCCACCGTGCTTTTAAGTATGGACATTACTATCACTCAGTGCTCATCAAACTGTGCAGCTGGGTTTTAGACACTGTCAAGGTTATTTGAATTCAGCAGAAAGAGCAGAACAGAAACTTGGTCAGGGACCTCCAACTGAGCAATACCTTTAGGTTTGCTGTTTTACAAATATGTTCTTACATTATAATTGTGCCCCAACAGTATGTATTATTGGAATCATTCTTCAGTATTATCAAGAAAGCTTCTATATCTCACACTACACAATACACTGTCATTCTCACTTTAGATTGTCTGTATTGGTACTATGTGTGGTGATAGATTTTACTGAGTCATATTTTAATGCATAAACATTTCTCCAGCCCCTAATTAGATGGCTTTCCTTTAATTTAAGATGAATCTTTAGGATAAGAATTTTTAGATTCCTCAGAGTCTTTCACTATGATTTCAGTTTGCATTCTTTAAAGATTTCCAGAATTTTAAAAGAGTATTTTCAATCTCCCATGACGCAACAGAATCAATCAGTAGAGAAAGTCTACAGAAATCACTGGTTTTTCATAATCTTGGATTTGCATTTTACCACCATTCTTCAATCTCTGTATTATGAACAGGATCTTCAAAAATGCATTCATGTGTAAAAATATATAAGGTAAAATATTAGATTTAATGAGTTAACTATATGTATTATGCTGTTCTGTAGTTTGTTTCTTAAGTTATTTTTAGGCTTCAATAAATGGCAGAGATGAAGACACTATGCCATTATTCTGGAGTCAGAACCTGTGATAGGATTTGAGCAGAGAGATCATCTCGGTGGTACTTGTGTTTTTGCAGGAGAAGTTACTATTTATTCTTTCCTTTCTTATCACTAGAAAATAATTTCAAGGTGTAGTTTAGCTTTCTAGAACCATTTAAATAAGTAGTATCTTTCAGACAGAGAAGTTTCCATGATATTGATTTAAATTAAAACCTACATTATTGTGTACAGAAAAAATAAAACTATTAATGAAGATTGTTTCTGAACAAACTTTAATAGAACGACTAACTCATTCATTAGGCCTTACTGATACCCAGCATCAGATTAATGTTTAGTCTTAATCTGGCAGTTGGCTTCTGGGATGAGCCTTTGTATTACTCCCATTAATGCTTGGACAGCTTATCATCAAAACCTCAGTTATTAATCCTGTTATCTTCCTGTAGTCAGAACTTTCAGAATTTTTATTATAGTAAAGGTATTTTTCACTAATGAAGACTAATTAGAAATAAATCCTCTTTAAGAAACAAAAATTGATAACCATCATTTATCCTTTCATGTTTCTAACAGGTAACCCATTATTAACCAGCAAAGTCAACGTACTGATTAATGTCCTAGATGTCAATGAATTTCCACAAGAAATACCTGTGCCATATGAGACAGCCGTCTGTGAAAATGCCAAACCAGGACAAGTATCTTACCAAAAACTGTTGATTAAAATGGGTAAAGATTTATGTGTGTGTATTAACTCATAAATCCACACAAGAATACATCCACATATATGGTATTTATTTTTCTGGATCAAAAGTGTTTATGAAGTAAACCACATACAGTACTAAATTCGTATTATTTAATGGCCAGATGCCTACACGTTAAGGGCAGGAAGTCTTGGTTGCCTAATCAAAGTTCTTTGGGTCATTAGAAATCTAGAACTGTTGATTCTGTGGGTTTTCCTACCTTATCATTGTGGAATTTTTGAAGAACTTGTGACTATAATTTCAGGAAGCAGAACTTGAGGAGCCTTTTCCCATTTTTTTTTTTTTTTTTCTGTTTTGCTCACCTACGTTCACAAAGAGCATGACAGAGCTGTAAGCCTATTGAGAAGGGAGATAAAGCTTTTTGTGTATTAAAAACATCTGTGCTATTTAAAATACCTGATATGAACTATGTCCATTAGGTTATGTTTTGTTTCTTTTTGTGGTGATGTTCTAAAACGGGACCAAGTTTACTACAAGTGATTGCCAGAGTCTTAAGTTTTCTACAGAGTCAAGGTGGATAGCCAGGTTTCCTGTTTTCTTCTACTCTCCTGTGAAAAGATGATGACACAAGGAGAATTAAACATGTGTATATGAGAAAAGTGTATCATAAAACAAGAATATGATTAATCTAACACTGTGTACCTAAGTTCTAACAGGAGGTTATGTTGATGTGCACTGAATTACTGTGTATTTCACCTATAGCAGGATGAATTATTTGAGTAAGTTTGATAATTGCTAATTCTTAATAGAAGTAAATATTAATATTTTAAATTATGTTTTCATTAAAAAGAGCATTCTTTAATCTTTTTTGAGGTTCATGTGCTTTACTATCCTAAATAAAATATTTACAACTGTGTTGTCCACTATCTATATACCTGTTAAATTAAAAGTTACAAAATTTACCACCAGTGTTCACACTCATACCGTTTATTTTTACAGTGCTCAATAAATATATGTGTTACACAGATACCATTTTATGGCTACCCGTACATAGTTTTTATAAATGTAGAAACTTCTTGTCTACTGTGTTAGTCTAATATTAATTTTATATTTATTAAAATTATTAACATTATATTATAATGTATCTAGCAATATTTTCCTAAAATATAAATCTGCATCATTAGTTTTGAATAGTCACAGAAATGTGCCTCAGTATTATTTTATTCAGTGCTACCAAAATTTTCATAGAAAAAACCCACTGCTTGCTTCCCTGTCTGAAGTAGCAGATGCTACATAAATAATTGGCCCCTCCAAAGTTAACTTGTTTTTAGTATTTGGAAATTTAGAAGACATTTGTCAAGCAAACAGTCCTTTTATTCTACTTTCCAGATGTCCCACCACACAAAAGCTAAAAAAGTAACAAGAGTTCTCTTTTTATCTTTCAGGTAATTAATGGTGCCAATAATTTCAGGTAAATCAAACTTTTATACTAATCTAAACAAAACCCTTTGGAAATAGAGCCCTGTTTAATCCCATAGGTTTCTCTAATAAAGTCAAAGGCTTAAGTGTTGGGAAATAAAGAATTTTCTAGAGATGAACTAATTTTGTTGCATGTGAGACTCTAGTGTCTGAGTTTGTGTGTTCTACTCGGCAGCACTTGTGCAGGAAGTTTAGCCCTGAAATGGCCTTGGGTTCTGCATTTTCAGTCTCTCTCTCTTGGTGCCTCTGGCCTCAGAACTATGCATAGGAATCCTCTGTTTCTTAGTGATAGTTCTTGAATGTGCATTTACGTATCTATCAGAAAAGGAGGGAAAGAATTGGATGAGAAATGGTGCTAAGTAATCTGGGAAGTTCTGCATGGGAGTTTTTTCCTTAGGGCAGAGACTCTAGAATAATACTTCCAGGTAGGTTTTTGTGTCTATGCATTATGAAATCCTAAAAGGCTCTTCTTCAAGTTATAGCCTTGATGTTATAGTTTTGATGTTATATACTGCTTGTTAGATTGGACAACCAGATATTGATTCGTACATAACATACAGAAACTGTGTGAGTGAAACAGTGTGATCTGAGTAAAGTGGCCTAAGTAAAGAAAAGTTGAAGTTTAATGGGGTCTATATAATGATTTTTTGACTAAATTATCACTTGTCATAATGGGGTCTTTAATGCGGAAATGTGGCAATCTAACCACGGAGCACTTTACAAGATCAATCAATTGTATGTAACTAATTTCATAGTAAGACAAGGAATTTTAATTCTTAGTAGAGGACCAATTAATTTCTAATTTTCAAGTTACTACTATTACACTGATACTGAATTTCCAAATGATATCCATAATATTTATTTTGCATCCTTTATATACCATTGCATGTGCACAGTTATATGGGGATGTAGACAACAGTCATGACATTGGATTATAATTACAAATGCAAACAAAAAGCAGAATATGGAACAAATTTAATGGCAACAACCTACAATCATACAATGTGCCGTTCATGCCCTGGGGCCACTCTAACATACATGAAGTCTGTCTTCCTTTGGAAATTTCCAATTAATTTCAAGGATTTTAGAACAGTTCATCTACTTTTTATTTTTCCCTATAAACTTTTGGAAATGCTGACACAGTTACTGAATATTTTAATTTAAAAATATTGTATCACGCAAAGGGTGAGCAAAGAAGACTGTTTCAGGCTAACCTGAACTGTATGGTGAGATCCTGTCTCAAAAAACAAAAAGACAAAATGACAGAAAGACATTCTAGTATGCTTATTTGTGTAGTGAATTATAGATTTTATCGTTTAATTTTCATGAGTTAATTTGTGTCTACCTTGTTACAGATATCATCCTCAAGTAGCCAGATTTTAACTGTAAGACATATAATGTATGCCAGCAAGTTAGAGAACTTTTTGAAATTAAAAAAAGCAAACTAACTTGTATTTTTTAAATGCCATAAAAATCTTTTTTCTCCCCAGAAAATTGGAAAAGAAAAAAGAAAATAAATCAAAATGAAAATTTTTTGGTTTTCTTTCTCATTGCTTTATTTATGAAAATAAAACATTTCCATAAACATAATTGTTACAAAATTCTTGCTATTGCAAGGACTTTTAGACAATCAGATATTGCTTTGAGTAAGCATTTTCACTTTTAGGGAGAAGGCGTATATTTCTTCTGATCTTCGATGCAAGCAAGTACATTTTAATTTGTTTTATTAGTGAGAATTTGCAATGCTGTTAAGTCTTTTTATTATGCACATATTGATTTAAAGTTAGTCCATGTCCCATAATTGTACCTCCACTATTACCAGTTAGTGTTTAAAGAATCATTTATAAAAATTAAATGTAAATAATTTGCCTGCTCACATCTATTCAGAAGACTTCTTGCTGTCTACTTGCATTAAATTCATTAGTCCACTGTGTAAGTTCCTTCTGAAGCTGATGACTGAGTGCAAGTTTCGTCTCAAAACTCTTTCAGATCATTCAGACAGTCAGTGCTGCAGACCGCGATCTCTCACCCTCTGGGCAGCAGTTCTCCTTTAGATTATCACCTGAGGCTGCCATCAAACCAAATTTCACAGTCCGTGATTTCAGGAGTAAGTATAACCCCATAAAGATGAACTTCTTCTCATGTACAAGGGCGCAAACACCAGGAAGTGATGCTTTTCCTCAGAGCACTCCATTTCCTGAAGTATGGAAAACCCTCCACGAGAAATCCAAAATCTTTTGGGCAGTATAAAATGTCTGATCCATCTAGATGGTCTCTAGTGAAATACAAACTTTCATTATGGAAAGAGACAGTCTCTTAAAGAATGTAGGCTTGTTTTAAGTATATCATTTGTTCTACATGCAAGTTACTTGTAAATACAAGTAGTTAAGGATATAGAAATGGTTTTGGTTGAATAACACGCTGCTCAACAGAGCTTATGAGTATGAGCATTGCAATAAGAATGACAAAGGCCAGCAGTCTCATTCCTCACCACCTGACTGGCATACTCTTCGTGTGTACAGTTATACTAAAGAATGTCAGCTTCACACTATTTGTGGTAGAATTATACCTTGATATGCTGTAACACAATGTCTAAAATGCGCAGCACTCACAGTTATTTCAGATAACACTTCTGCCACTGTGTTTACTCTAAAACTTGTGTTACACTTTCTGCCACTATTTTTACTAATTCTATTAAATTTATTTTCTTTAAAACCACTGTCTATTAAAAAAAAAAAAAAAAAAAAAAAAAAAAAAAAAACAAAAAAAAACTTCATTAGAAACCAGCTACTCCTTGCTCAATGATTATGGCTTCCATGTAACAACTCATCAAAAATTTTAAAACACCTTAAACTGAAACATATTTATTATGTGTAACCTACTGAGTATCATAGCTTGCTTGCCCTTAAATGTGTTCAAAACACACTTACCTAAGGATGAGGAAAGTCTTCAATACAAAGCCTATTTCATAAAAAAAGCATAAAATACTCACATAAGATCTTAAGTACCAGTAAAAGAGAAGCAGTGATGGCTTAGGCAACCTTCCACAACACTGTGAAGCCGAAAATTCATATACTGACCCACTGTAATGTTGGGAACTTAATGTCTATACTAAGGTATATTTTTGATCTGTTGAGTCTTAGTTGCCGTGACTGTGCTAGTTCTGTGACTTTTTGCATTTTATCTACTCTAAACTTCTATATTCTGTGAGACAAGAATTAAGATGATTGATTTTATAATGTTGTGTAGTGAAAGATTAAAGTTATAATAAGTTTTCTGTGAGAAAGCACTGTGCTCCGTGACACATTTTCATGATTATCCCGATGTAGACCCTTCCGTCTATACTTGTAGGAGATATTTGACGCTTATCTTTACTGGATGATGTAACCATCTATCTAGCTACCAATAAATTTCATATTATCAATTCTCAATAAAAAATACATTGAAAATAAACTTTAAATTGAGGCTATGTTGTCTTTTGAAAAACTAAAAAGTAAATAATCCCAGCTTTTTCTAATCAAGAGCACACTAAAATTCTGTCCATAATTTTCATCGGGTTGCAAATTTAAACTCTGTTCCTTTCCCTAATCATCAAATATTAACAATCAAGTATTAATGATTTCAACATTACTTCTGTCCCCATTTTCCATCTTTTATCACCATAAGCATTAGCCCTCAGTGAATCTATTGGAAAATAATATAATCTCTTGCTTCTTATTTAGTAAACAGCCTGTCTGTAACCATAGCACATTATTCTTACAAAGCAAGCTCTCATCATATTACATATTGTTTTTTTTTCATTTTATAATACTCTTTATTTGATTAAAGAATCTGCCTTCTTTGTGTACAATGGAATGTTATATTCCCTACATATTTTACAGGGTTACAAAATGTCTCATTTTAAATATTACCCCAAAAGTAATTTCAGGAAAAAAAGTTTCATGAAATTAAACTTGCCTTTTTAAAAATCATATGAACAGATGACTCTCAAATAAAACTGGACTAATAAGATTTCTCGCCTACTTAAGGTATTTCCTATTGCAATGAATGAAGACAAGGTTCCTAAATTCAGATTGTTCAATTTGGAGAGTACAAATAGAATAATAAAACATGATTGAAATATTAAGCTACAGTGTCCTGAGTAGCACACTTTTCTAATTTTTAAAATTATTCCTAATTTGTAATCATGCATGAGTGTAATATACTAAATGCTGTATATTTTTAAAACAGCAAATTGTTTGTAGAAATTATTTTAACTGCTCAAAAATAAAGTTGCATTAGGAATGAAATAAAACATCTGTTACTTTCAATGGGAATATTGATTGAATAGATATAAAATTATAATTTTTATTGTCTGCCAGTATAACAAATTCATAACATTACTGTTGACTGAGTTAAACATATACTTAATTTTGTCATTACATTAGTGTCATTACAGTAATATAGTAGGTGTTATAATTCATTTTGCGCACAAATTTTAATGAAAGTTTGTTTTTAAATAGTATATCATTTTTTCCCGTGCTCCTTCCATTTTCTGATCTACAAAAGTGAAAACACGAGAAAATTTCATACATGCATATACAGTCTTTCTTAGCTATTCAGGATGGATTCATATCAGAAATTCCTACCATCTGTGGATACAAAAATCTATAAATACCCATATGTCTTATCTAAAAAGTTACAGTGTTTGCATACAATCTATGCAGAGGCTGCTAGATCTTTAAATTATCATTAGATTATTATACTATTATGTGCAATATGAATGTTGCATAAATAATTGTTAATTTTATTGTTTAGGGAATAATAACAATAATATATACATGTTTTATATGCATGTTTTCTTTCCAAATACTTTCTCTGTACATCTTTTCTTTACAAATATAATATTCTTTTGTGGAATCTATGGAAAAATATACATCCAGATTACATTATTTATATGCGTATATAAAAGCTATGTTTTAATATGAAGCAGTCAACTGACTATTAATATATTTTAAAGAACATATTTTTTATGTAAAATACTTTATATATTCATGCTTTGTTATTCCTCCAGTGATACGTCTGAGAACATGCAAAAAGTAGATTTTTCTCAATAAGATTTTGACAGCAGAAAAGTATAAAGCAATGTAATAGCTTCTTGTCTTTAAAATCATCATATATTCTTTCTGAAGATTATTTCTTACATCAGTCAAGATTAATGATTCTTCTTTCCTCAAGATATATTTTAATTACATTTTATTGCCTTTTTATGTCTTTCATAAAGTTAAATCATTGAAGAATCCATTTTACTAACTCAAGAGCTTCCTGTTTGTCAGATACCAACTGTAAGCCTTGGAATGATGCTCATGTTAACCATATCATAGTAAATGTCCTGTTTTGTAGACAACACAGCTGGAATTGAAACCCGAAGAAACGGATACAGTCGCAGGCAGCAAGAGTTGTATTTCCTGCCTGTGGTAATAGAAGACAGCAGTTACTGGTCCAAAGCAGCACGAACACAATACTATCAGAGTTTGCCGATGCGACTCTGATGGTACCATTCTGTCTTATAATGTGGAAGCGATTTTTCTACCTGTAGGACTTAGCACGGGGGCCTTGATCGCAATCCTTCTGTGCATTGTTATACTTTTAGGTTGGTTTAAATATTAGTCCTCTCTCTTCTTTCGCTCTCTGTCTCCCATCTCCTCCTCTTGTCTCTTCTCCATCTTTTCCTCTCCTCTCCTCGTCTTTCGCTCCTGTATAGGAGTTTTCTCGTGTTTTCACTTTTGCTTTATACTTTTCTGCTGTCAAAATCTTATTGAGAAAAAAATCTACTTTTTGCATGTCTGTTTCATTCTGCAGTGTACTTTATAAATAAGCATTTTCACTGACCTATCACCTCTAAATACAAGATCATCTAGATCTTGAATTAAATCTAAATTAAATTTTATGGATTAATTTCCTATTTTGTAATTGGTGAATAACATTATCAAACACAGGATACGTTCACGTAACTCCTAGAGAAATTTTTACATTTTGGTCTTTGGCACAATGAAATTCTTATAATCATCATGCACTTAAAAATATTTCTTTGTTTATTTTACATTTCAGTAATCACTAAAGCCTATTACATGATCATCTACTACATGATTATGTCATCTTTAAAAATATATACTTGATGCAAAATAGTTCAAAAATCCAATTCCAAAGGTTGGAAAAAAGACAGGAATGAAATACAGTGTAAAAGGACTTCAATTTTTTTTTTTTGTTCTGTTTAAACTGCCAGCCAGAAGTAATTTTACTTTCCCCACATCCCACTGCAAAATCCTATTTTGCTCTCACAGAATAGGGTGCACTAAAATATCTAGAATCACTGTAATGAAAAGGGATAGAAGGCAGTGTATTCTGTAGCCTTTCTGCAAGTAAATGCAAAACTAGATTAGGAGTTTCTCTCCTCCATCAACTCTGCTCAGCTTTTCCATCAGTCACGGTTTCGCTGCCATGTCCACAGGGTGCATTTTGCCAGTATTTCCTTTCCAATCAAAGTACAACGAATAGGACTATTGTGTTATCAATAACGTATACATACTCATTATCTAACTAAAAGTATTCTGACACCTTTCAACATCTAACTTTATCTCTAGGATGGAAAACGGAATTTTAAAAACAAACACTATAAAGGGAAGCAGGAGGACGACATCAGATAACTGTGGAGACTATGCAGAGCCAGACAGTCACACTGACTTGAACAAGAATGTTCCAGTTCACCCTGCATAGAGTAGCTATTAATTCTGCACCGAGATATTTGGAGCACAGAACAAAGCCTTCTTGATGTCCTTATAATTTATAATGAATCATCCTTACCATCTGTTTTTTTTTTTTTAGATGCTTTAAACTTCAAAAAGACACAGTGAAAATAACATCTGCATATTTACAGCTGTGCTTAATTTGGGTGTTTTACATCAAATCAATATCCTGCTCCCACTTGCTTCCCTTCTGTGGTAGCGGTCACCCCCAGCACTCCCTACAAATGTAACAAGACCGGGCAAATTCTGGGTCTGGATCTTTGGCTTACTTGCCCTCATATGTTGAGTCAGTCCGTCTTCCAGCTCAGGATGTTGGTGTGGTGACTCCTGTAGTACACTCATTTACCTCAGTAAGTCACATGTGCAAGTGCACCCTAACCATTGCAGGTAGTGTAGATTCCTTCCACACTCTGTTGTTTGTTGTCTGTTTTTATCTTCCTATGGTGTCCACCATAAAACTTCTGTAGTCCTTCAATTTGTTTAGCAAACACAGAATTCTTAGGCTTTTCATTTTCACATCCTTCCCACAGAGAATAGAAACATGGGAACAATGCCATCTAGCAGTTTCTTTTATGTGGTCCTTGGACACATCAAGAATGGCAAAGTTTTCTACACAGGATTCCTCCACGAGCTGTGGCATCTCTCACACACTCTGGATAATCAAACAATGGTCTCTTCAGTTTTGGGATTCCCTGTGCTCTGGGCAAAGGGCAGAGTGCCACACATTTCTCTAAGGCCTTTTACATAGACGTGCTGTCCAGCTTTCTTTCCTCCTTTGGATTGACTCAACTCCCTTGAGAAGAAAAGGGAACGCGAGCACTTTTACTTTCAAGACTTCTCTCTGTTCTACTCCACTGACAGATATCTTACAAATTATGGTGGGCAAAGGAAACTGCTTTTATCTTAACTCCATCACTGTGCAAGTGAGATACCATGGAGCAAAGCTGAGCAGAGTTTACTGCTAGTCTCTGGGCTCATCTTCCTTTCGGAGTAATGAGCACCCTAAGCATAGACAAATTAAAGTGTGAAATAAAGATAGATAAAAGGCACAAGGAGACAGAGTTTTTGCAGATGGAAAGGAGACCAAGAGCAGAGGGGATGGGAGAAGGGATGCAAAAAGAATTCATGTGTGATATGTATACAGATCAGCTCCCTGTAAGGAATGTGACCATTGTATACTGCAAATATGCACTAAAAATAAAATAAAAAAATGAGGAATAAATCCCATCAACTTAATGGAGAGCACTGAGTCAACTAGGAATAAAATAGTAAAGCAATGAAAGTGTATCAATTATTTCAAAATATTATCTAGCTCCATGAGGTTAACCAAATGTTACAATAGCAAATACACAGAATTACAACGATCAGAAATCTTTTGACACGATTTATTAAATTATAGTCCTTATATTCTACTTTATTTTCCTTCTTTCTTCCCTCCGTTTCTTTTTTTTCATCTTCCTCTCTAATATATTCCTTTTAAAACTCATTATTTCACAGAGTATTTGGGTTATTTAATTAAAAATAGAAATATCTAATATCCAATTGAGAAATAATACAAGTGGAAAATTAGCCATCACTGACATTTCTGTTGTACTTACAATATATAATGTTCAATTTTATTATATAAATTTTTACAGTTAGGTATAATTAGAACAATCATTATTTTCTCTTTTCATAATTTTTAAAAAGCATTCTGGGCTGGGGATTTAGCTAAGCAGTATAAGTGCCTGCCTGGTGACAGTGAGGTCATGAGTTAGATCCCTAGTACCAAAAATCTCCCCAGGAAAAAAAAAGACTAAAAGCAGTCTTTTTCATCTAAATTGTATAGAAATGTTTGGATAAAATAAACAGAAAATAACTTTGTTGAATTTCTTTTACAGCTCCAAAAGGAAGATGACTTTAGACAAGGGAAAAATGCAGCATGGGGCCGGGGATAAATCTCATCAGCACAGGTGCCTGCCTGGCAAGCACAAGGTTGTAAGACTGATGCCTGGTACAAAAAAAAAAAAAAAAAAAAAAAAAAAAAAAAAAAAAAATCAGCATAGTTATAATCTTACAGTATGCTTACTTTGAAAATAATAGTATGATGCAGTCAGGAATTTCGCTTCATGGCACAAGTGCCTGCCTAACAAGCTCCAGGTTGTAAATTCAGTCCCCAGTAGGGGGGTGGGTAATATATCAAATAATAGTGGATCATTAAAGCAATTCAGTCAGCTCTGCTCAATCTTATGGTGACACAGAATGACTTCTCTGCATTCTGCTCAAGTTACTGTACTGTCTTGTTTCAGCCATAGTTGTGCTCTATGTAGCTCTGCGAAGGCAGAAGAAGAAAGACACCCTGATGACCTCTAAGGAAGACATCAGAGACAATGTCATCCACTGTGATGATGAGGGTGGCGGGGAAGAGGACACCCAGGCCTTTGACATCGGGGCTCTGCGAAAATCAAAAGTGATTGAAGAGAACAAAATTCGCAGGGATATTAAACCAGACTCTCTCTGTTTACCACGTCAGAGGCCACCTGTGGAAGACAACACGGACATAAGGGATTTCATCAATCAAAGGCTGCAGGACAATGATGGGGACCCAACTGCACCACCCTACGACTCCTTGGCCACATATGCCTATGAGGGAAACGGGTCCACGGCAGAGTCGCTCAGCTCCATAGACTCTCTCACCACAGACGCTGACCAGGACTACGACTACCTGGCTGACTGGGGACCCCGCTTCAAAGTCTTGGCAGACATGTTTGGAGAAGAAGAGAGCTATAACCCTGATAAAGTCACTTAGGGGCGAGGTGAAGGCTGACACACCCGAGAGAAGACATTTTAACAACAACAATAAAAAGAAAACCACAAACAGAACTCACACACATGCACACACACACACACACACACACACACACACACACACACACACACACGGCTTCATAGACAAGATTCCTTTGATTATCTGGTTTCTAGCAAGTTGCTATAATTATGTTCTCAGTTTGTCAGTTTTGGTCCATTCTGCTGACACAAGATAAATCCTACATCATAGAGTTGCTTTGTTTTGTTTTCTTATTTCAGAAACACACTGAGACAAGCTCAGGCCTATTGTGTACAACTAACTGACATGACAACCTAGAATGAAGGTAACTCTGTGGCATCACAGTGGAAGAGTGTTAGATTGTTCTTAATTCCACTAAAGTGCCTATTGAAACTCTTATCATTTAAAGTGGTAGACACTACCCTCCACTGTGATGGCGCCGCAGGATTCAGAGACAAAGAGGAGTAAAACAAAGACACCCTCTCTGTGCCCAGGAACAATAGCAGCATGCTGACTCTTCCCATTCCTTTCCAGAAATAAACAAGAACACTTCCAGAACTCTATCTTTGTATAATTAAACGGCTTTTGTCTCCTAAACTGTATGCCAAGACACGTTTGTTTTTCCTACACTTTCCAAAAATGGAAATGAATGTGATAATATCAAATTCAATATGTAAGTAATGGATTCTAAAACAGTGGTTGATCATAGCGTTAGTTCATGTTAAGGATGCAAATTAATTAAACTATTAATTTTTCCCCCAAACTACACATTTACAAACATAAATAAACTGTCCCTCTTTATAAAGAGAGAGGCCTCAGGGCTCAAAACAGCATTAAAATAAATAATGCTTTTGTTTAATACTGAACTTGTGTGTGATAATTGGTTTTAAAAATCACCAAATCATTTTTGTTTTGAAAGAAAAGATTTTAGCTTGTGTTTATATGAAAAGTGTTTTTAAGGAAAAAAAAAAAAGTTTTTTTTTTTTTTTTTTTTTTTTTTTTTTTTTAACTTCAACATGGGAAAAAATGTTGATCACAGCTTATCAGAGTTCCTTACAATTTAGGGATTCTTTGATGAGATATATAAAGAAAATACACATCAAGTAGCCTGGGCTAGATTTATAACATGCTCACAAATCATCACTTATTACTTAACAAAGGGAAAATCAAGGCCTTCAGAAAGTTAAAACCAATGACTAGAGCCTAAAAGAAACACAAGTGCAAAATCAGGCACCTGGTCCACTTATTTTACTGAGGTATATTTCAATTTGTAAACACAGGGTTCTTAAACCTGAGCTCAGCATTATCTCTTTCCTGTCTCATCTGCAAGAATTCCTTTACAGTCATCTGGTAAACAACTTTTTTGATTCGATGTAAGCTGCTGAGAAATATGAGATTTTTGGTACATTATTAATTTGTATTTACTTTGCTTTCAAGTAGATTGTACACCAAAACTGGACATCACACAAAAAGGGATGGACTGATTATAAAGTAATATATTTTCTCAGTATTGTGACCAGACGAGTAACTACTGAAACACTGACACTGTAAGAATAGATTTTTTATAGGTTCTTGCAAAAGATGTGGACAGCATCTTGCTGTACTTATAAAACATCTATGAAAATATTGAACATGCAAGGGTGTGAAGATAAAAGTTTACATATGAGAAAATAGAGTTGAAATCCATATCCCACAGACAGTATTTATTCAGCATTATTGCTTCATAAATGCTCACTTTCCAATACCCGGCCTGTGTGGATGCGGTGGCAGGGTCCCTGGGAATCTGCATCTCTCACCCTTTCTTTGGTGTCACTCAGTTGCGGACTCCCTTTTCCTTCCGGTCAGGGATGACTAGTGCAGGTACTTTTCTCCAATCCTTTCCCCAAAGTTGCTTTTGTTTCAGCCATGGAACCATGTTTTGATAGGCAGTTTAAACAGCTTTCAGTATAACATGTTTTATAAACCACTTCTATAAAATTTTTTAAAAAAAGCTCATGTCAAGCAGAAAAACAGTGATACTCTGTGGTTTTCCTCAAGCAACGTGGTTCTCTCTGGAAGGATGAATAACCTCCTGAAGAAGGCTGATACACAAGAGCGCTTTCTACAAACACAACGATTCTTGTCAGAAGCCATTCCGTTGCATTTTACATTTGCATTTTGCTAGGTAGTATAACTGCCTCTACATACAGTTAGTCAACAAATTCTATGGTACTGCAAAGAGAAGTCGAGTGGCAGGTCATTTCAAACCACATGCTTATGATGCTAAGCAAAAACGTGAAATGTGCAGGCCTTAGTTCATGACAACAAAAATCATTTCCTTAATGTCTTCATCTTTAATTTTTTCACTACTATCCTTTATTTTTGTTAGACCACTGTAACAGAGTGAGTGCCCTGATAGGGGCCATTCTAGCTGGCTTGTAGGCGGCCGTATTTACTGTTTTCACGTGGTCCTCCTGTGTTTGCTTGTGTTCTCATTTCTCTGCTTACAAGAACATCAGTTCGATTAGTAGTGGACCTGTGAGTGTGGCTTCTTGTGAACTTCCTCACCTTTAAATACACTGCTCCAAACACAGTCACAGTCTGAGGTACTAGAAATTAGGATTTCAGCATAGGAATTTATTCCATAGCTCCATGCAGACATTAGGAGCAATTGTCTACACGAAAAGCAATTAATTTACAAATGCAAAAGGAAACATGTGTGAAGAAAAACTACTAGGAAATACTTTAGATACAATGGGAATCTTCAAAGTTTACATTGCTAGGAAAAGATTTTTGATGCTCGTATATTGGAAATACGGGATATCTTTTATGCTAAGTAAATCACTAGGCTTACTATTTCAATATTTGTAGTGTTTGTGTATTTTTATTTACAATAGAATCATTGTCCTTTATTCAAATATTAGCATTATAAAGTTGTTTGGAATTGATCTAGGTAATTTTGACTATTAGTATTACATCATAATTTTCTCATTTCTCTGCATGTTTATCATTAAGGAAGTATATTTGTACATATTATAAGTAACATATACGTTAATCATATATGTCAAAAATATTTCTTTCATGGTCAAATAAATATTAGATCAACACATATGAGTCAAACATTGCAATTGATACACTACAAATAACCGAAAATTTCTTTTATGCCAAATGATATTTTTCACTAAAAATTTCTTATGGAGCAAGCACTCTCATCCCCTCTCAGTGTTCCACTCACACTGGTGAAATTAACTGTATCACTTATATTACGTCAGATTCCCCAGAAATTTCTTGACTGTATTTCTTGAAATTAACTGTATCACTTATATAACGTCAGATTCCCCAGAAATTTCTTGACTCTTTAGTTACACTCACTTGAAAGTCATAGTAATTTACATACTGATTATATAAAATGTTAAGAATTGTTGAGATCCTCACATTTACTTGAAACTATTTGCTCTACAGATTTCATGGATCACATATTAAAGTTCACCACTTTTACCACAACAAGTGGAAATTCTTCAGAAAGTTGGAAGTTAACCCTGTGCACTGGAACAAAAATAAAAAGAATACTAAAATAGTTAGACCCGTGATTTAATACAAAGAGGAAAATAAAGGATAGGAAGAAAAAATAAGAAGAATATTATATTCCCTGTAGACATTTCTGCAGATGCCTCAGTAACTATTGTATTTTCCAAATGGCAAATTAAGCTCGACATAAGCTTAATAATAGTTAGCTGGTTTCAGATGGAATCAATCTTTAGCATGATTAAATAAACAAAATTCATAAAAGTAGATATAAATATGCAAGCTTTATATCTGAAATGGTCTTTAATTATGACTAAAGTCTAAAATGTAGTACACAGTTTCAGTTGCCTTCTAACACAAAGTGTGTGGGGAGGGATAATTTTATAAAGCACTCTTTGCTTGAAAACTTCCCTTTCATTTCCTCACCTACTTTGTAGTTCTCACCTACGTACTTAATTCTTCCTTGGAAAATTTTTCTCAGTATTGTGAAGGTGTTTTTCTTTCATATTTGAGCTTCCAATAGAGTTGGTAAGACAAATATGAACGACAGTGTGCTTGCTCCTTCTCTATGAGTGGTATGGATTTTGCATGACAATACTCTGAATTTTCTTACACTCTAATTTTAGTTCAATTTCATACCAATGAACTAAGATGAGTCTTCTGTGGTTTACAGGCTACATGGTGAAATCCCCTTTCAAAAGGGAGCCTCCGTATCCAGTCCTGGCATGGGACATTTGCTTTTACTCATTCTCTGGTGGTGTGCTTCTTTCCTCTGTTGGAATTTTTGTATGTGGTTTCTGGTTTTGTATGATGATCTTTACATCTTTGTCTTCTACTTTATTGATTTTTTTGTAAGAGGTTTTTTTTTTTTTTTTTTTTTTTTTTTTTAAATTGCAGTGTTGTTGCTTTCTTCTATCCCTTAACCCAGTTCTTCTCTTTTTTTAGATGTTTTCTCTTTCCGATGACTACTGTAGCTTTAAAAGCAATATGATGTGATTTTTTTCTCTCACTTACATACTTCAAAAGGTTACAGGAAAAGGAAAGCGTAGGTACTAGTTTGAACTTATTTCATTTCAACTTCATCTCTCTTTCCACTTAATCTGCCAAATCCTGACCCTGTACAGTTCTCTGCTGAGATGATGGGCTCTCCATACTTTGCTGGACTGCTGTCCAGTCTGTCCATTTGCTGTCCTGTGTCGTCCATCACTTTCCGTTATCTTCCAATAATTTATGCAGTGTATTTTTTTCCTCATGGATAACATGCCACATGCCCACACACACACACGTTATAAGTAAATATTCCCATGTTATTAAGTTAATCATCATTATAGTAATTTCTGAGTAAGCAGAGGCGATACAAACACAATCATCAAAACGAAACAAAACTGGAAAAAATTTCAAACAATTAGCTATTTTATTCATTTTTCATAAAATGATACTTAATCTAGCCTGTGTGTATACACACATGTATACCCATACACATAAGTAATTACAATTAATGTGTGATTTACATTGTGACCTGTTACTTAATTGAATTCCTTAAATTTCTTTTCTTTCCAAAGTTAGGAATTTAATTTACTTTTATTTAATTTACTTTTGAGGTAGAATCTTTCTAGATCTCTAAGTTGCCCAGGCCTAGTTGCATTTAAGATCTTACTGCCTCAGCCTTGCAAAGAGTAGGGATCACAGTCATGCGCCAGTGTGGGTGGCTACTTATTGTGCTTACCGTTCCATATTTTTTTAACAGTCTGCCCTACTAACTCTCTCAAAAAGTCTGACTTTTTTTCAAGTTCATACTTAGCCACATATTGTTTATACAGCCTGACTTATAAATTAAAACGAAGGAGACAAGAGTGCCCAATTTGTGTAAAACCAAACAATAATCAAGTAATATGGGACAAAGTCCTTTAATTATGAAGAATAAAATAAATCTAAAGTCATTTTCCACACTTGGGTTCTCTTCCCTGTTTTTCCACTGTCTACACTGTTAATTATGGCCTTAAAATGATATAGTGAGCTAAAATAATTTTGGTCTATAGCATAGCATCCTATTATACTTCATCAAGAAAAATCACCACGGCCATCATTGATTCTCTTGTCAATATTCAACCCAACAATCAGAATCATTAGACACAATAGTTTTTGCACCATGTGGGCAAAGAGTTATTACATAATGTAAACTACGCATCTATTTATTATTAACAATATTACTCTACCCTTAGCTTTCTAATCTTCCAATTCAGCTATTTATGTTCCTTTATTTTTAGCTTTCAGTGGTTTCACCTATAACATAATCATTATTGTCACCTAAATATTTTATTTCCAAGTGTAATTTATATAAATTATGTGTCTCCCAATCCAT